TTTTTTTTTTTATCTAATGTGTGTCTGTACCAAGTTTGAAGTGCTAGATACAATTTATTTCAACTGCTGTTTTGTTGCAAGAATCCTTTTTGGTTCGAAAATTCCAACTTTGTAAAAAAATCTTTGACAGTTATGAACTTAAATTATCTGCATCGCGAGCTTTCCCATGTTCTAATACCAAAAAGTTCTGAGGGTTTCAATCATACATCACTGAAAATAGAATTAAAACTTACAGATATTTGCTTTCCAAGCCAGTATACCGAAGAAATTTCGCTTCATAGCATTTCCGCAATTCATCAAGTTCAGATATATGAATCAAAAAACTGCCCGCCTTTGTCAGACTTCTAAAGTCTCAATCGTTGCAAAGAGCTCTTTGAATTATCTGACAAAACTGTTTTAATAAAATAATTAGAAAAGAGAGCGATCCATTAGATGGTGATTACAAGACAGTTAACACAGTATGAGTAGAATTGTTGAATCCGCCTAACTTTTTCACTCTAGTATCAATAATCCGTTCATTAGTATGCGAATCTCTGCTGCTTCCTTCACTCTGCTCCTGGCTGGCGATATCTGGATTCGACATACTTCCAGTAAACTGGTTTTCCCCCCTCCCTTTCTTATTTGTTTCAGTTATTATGCTAAAGCAGAATATTCAGCAGATATATCAGCTCGAAAAAGAAAACTACTACAGACATAGAATAAGACCGGGAAACAGAATATGCCATCCTAAATGCATCGATAAATACAACCTCCACTAACATAGACATAAACCATACCCAGAGAACACCAGAAACTTAACGGCTTTAACCTCCGTCTAAAGAGGAACAGCTGACTATAAAATGTTCCGAAGTTTAAATCGGCCTTTTGGAGCGGCAATCGAATCTACAAATGTTGCCAGTTGCAGCACAAAATTTTTTTAGGAGCTGACTTTTTTAGTATCTGGTTGTGCTGTAAACTGTTACCCAACGACTGAGAAGACAACGGCTTATAAGTGTGACAAGCTGCTGCGGTAGCTCTTGCGTGATGAAACAGGAAACTGTCGTACCAAAGAATGAACCGGAAGTCAAAATGGAAGTGGATGGCACTGATGAGTCAGACGATGATCCAGTGACTTCAGAGGTTGGATTAATTCTATAACCAGTCAGGTTCCTTTTATTCGCCTGGGATTCGGGTCGTCTGTAGTCATGAGATTAGAACTTTTTTTGTTCCTTACCTCGTTCTTTTCATTATTTTACTGTTAGCTGTGCTCACTTTAACCCCTTTCCAAATTCTTACTAGTAATCTACTTTTAAAAAAAGCATAAATTCTTTGTCTTTAAGTATAAAGTTTTGGTTTGTCAACCGTCAGAGGACAGTGATCTGTATCGCATTCAGTTCCCAACAAGGAAGTTGAATTTTTTTAAGGCAGAAGGTATTAGCGCTCGATTCAAAAAAACTGTCAAAATGGTAACCTTTTATGGGTGCAAAAGTCATCTTATTTAGTGGTTTTTATTTTTTATAATCGTTATTTTTCTCACTGAAATCATGAAATTTTCTTAAAACACATCTAATTTTGGATCTCTTGAAATTTTTTAGACTAAATATTGAGCCTATTGTGAGAAATTATTGTTTTGTTTTAATGCACTTCAGATGGAAATCAAAATGAAGACTGATACTCATTCGGCTTCTTTCGACAGTTCGAAAGCGAAACATTTGGCTAACATGTGTGGTAACAATGGCGCAAATGGGTTTGGCGAGTAAGATACTTGATCATCTGTGCTAGCTAGCCTCAATTCGAAATTAGAGTTAATTTTAATTTCTATAGGGATGCTTTATTTAAGTGTATTATCTGTTCACTATATTTAGACTTACTGATGAAACGTATCTTGGAAGAAGTTTTCGTAGCGATGCACCCACATATTATGCTATAGGTTTTTTCCGCAACAGTAAGTCATAAGAATTTTAAAAATTACAAAGTTTCTTTTTAAATAGTTGCCTTATTTGATGCTTTATTTATTTTTTGCACTAACGGCACTGATTCTTCTTTCCATGTAGAAATTCTTTATTTGGTGCCACTAGAAGGAAGCCTGGAAATGAAGAGATCGATAAGTTACTTGAATAACCAAGGAAAACACGTAAATGCTATGGAAACAGACGGTAAAGCTAATCTTTATTGTTGAATTCTTAGATTTGTTTTCTATTCCACCAATTCACTTTCGCCATCTTGATCAGTTTTGGTGCAGCCTTATATTCTGATGTGTAACTTTTGAGGAATATTGAGATGGTGGCTGAAATTTAAAAGTTATTAGAGAGGAATTGCTTAAGTGGAGAAATTTTACATTCTACATTCTTTTATTCACACTTTAGTGGAGCTAATGTGCCACCTCTGTTTTTCCGCTATTCAAAGGTTTCTCAACTTTCAGTAGAACAGGCGGGATCGGACAGTGATGTACAGAGCCCTGTACGTGCCCCGATTCGTGTCCGTTTTGCACGTCCTGAAACTGAAAAGCAGAAGAAACGTCGCGAGGAATCTGCTTTTCATAGGAGTAAAGTCATTGAGCAAGATCCTTGGATCTCTCTTGAGATTCATGGGAAAGAGGTTTTCTCATTTCAATCATTGCTGCAGTTTTCTTGTTATATTAATTTCCAATAGTTTTTCCGACAGTTAGTGTTATTTCCTTCATTCGCCTTTCTCTATTTTCCAGGTTTTTAACTTACCATTGGCACTGCGTTTTTGGAATCTTATTGTCCATGAAAACTGTATTACTTGAATAGTCACTATAATAAAGGGTTAGGAAAGGCTGAAATATTATGTAGTAGAATCATGACGACTTCCAGTGCAAAATTCTAATTTTTCATTTTGGACTTATCGTTCTTATGTTTTTAGGATAAGGAAACACGAGAACGATATAACACGTTACTAAACATACCGTCAACATCTAGCATATCCGTAACGAAATTTGATCCGGAACAGCTAATACAGGAAGCAATCATAGGCAAAAAGTTAGAAGACCTGTAAGTGATTTCGTTGTTTAGCTTTCAATGGGATGATCGAGTCATTTACAATTATCTTATATATATCTCGCTGATCTACATTGGGGTTTTGCTGCATCCACAGGATAATTTTTTATTTACTCTCTCTTC